CCCCCCCCCCCCCCCTCTCTCTCTCTCTCTCTCTCTCTCTCTCTCTCTCTCTCTCTCTTTCTCTTTCTGTCTCTCTCTCTCTTTCTCTCTCAATCCCTCTCTCTCTCTCTCCCTCTCCCTCTCGGCAATCCCGTGTACAAGAAAAGAGCGTTTTTTTTGCTGTGCCGCGGGGGGGAGGGGGGAGTCTTTGAACTATGGGCATATGTGCACGTGTGAGCTCTCTCGAATCACTATCCCTTTGAACTTCATGAACACGATTAAATCTTATCTATTCGCTCTACGCTTCAACAACAAGCACAAGTATAAGAAAACGAAAAACAAAATTAGGAAATGCCAGGGCGGCAAAAGGCGGCGAGGAGGACGGCATAATGACCAAAAAGTGGCGTGTCCTTGACAGAGTATCTGGGTGGAAGGAGTGGGAACAAGGGGGAGCTGTTTCACAAGTCGATGATTCCGCATTGATTATTTGTGTCACGACACTGTGGAATCAGGCGCTCGTCAAGTTCAGAACATACGGAGTTATTAGTTGCGCTCGTCAATATTTTTGGGGTATGTAGAGTTATCAGTATCATCTCAAAGCTTGTTTATTTGTCTTGCCTTGCTTTTGATGAAAAAATTACCCATCTATCTTGAATGGAAGCCAAGGTATTTGCGAATGGAGAAGGGGTCGTATGGTGCCAAAGGTAAAATTAGCGCGAAAATGGCCGCCAAAGTTTAGTGACTCTCAAAGCTTGAGTGTCCTTAGACACTGCAAATCAATTTACTTGTTTTGTTTGCGTTTCATCAACATTTTTCAATACAATTCCACCCAGAAATGTGCTTTTAAATGAGCCTTCATCCTTTCACCCCCACCCCACTTCAAAACAACAACAACAACAACAACAACAACAACAACAGGTTGGACTGCCTCACCCGCTACTCAAGGGAGGCGGTGGCCCTGGCGAAGAGCACGCTATTCGGGATTCCAAACATTTCGAACGGATAGGCTACCACACACACAACAGCAACAACAACAACAACAACAACAGCAACAACAGCAACAACAACAACAACAACAACAGCAACAACAACATCAACAGCAGCAGCAGTAGCAAATCGATAAAATTGCCCAACAGGCAGTAGAATGTCTGTTTCTTCAAGTTCATTATTTTGACGAGCGCATGATTTTGCAACGATGCCATACTGATTGTCTTCCATTGCGTAAGGCACGTTCTGAAGAGAGCCAGAGACGAGGAACCAGGAACTATTCCTCGCGTTTTCGCGTGAGATTTCTCTCAGTGCTGTATGCACTTATTGCACAAGTATTAAATGTACGAGATTTTACGCCCCCAACGACACAATTTAGATCATTTGGTCGCTTTTAAACACAAGGGGCTATCCCGAAAAACGCTGTTTCGAGAAAATTGAAGGTAAAGTTTTTTTGCCCTTTGTTCAGTTTCGTTAAAAGACAAGGAGGGTTTTCTCTATAACCAAACAAATATACACACCAATGAAACCAAACTTCTCCTATAGGTAGGGCAATGCCCACTTTTGGTGTGGGTCAAGATTCCTGTAAACCCCTGAAATCTGGGTTAACCTGCTTGTCCTTAAAAGCGACCAATTAGGAGACGGGCTTCTGACCCTGATCGTTAGAGCCAATCAGGGCTAATAGGGGTACACCCCAGAAGACAGACCGAGAAACTAGATAACATTTTTCTCCCCACTCGGGAATCGAACTCGGGTCTCTTGCGTGCCACAGCTAAGCGTCTGACCGCTACACCAGAGACATCGGTCTCATTGGCGCTCATATGACCTTATGCAGTTGCGAGCGCCGTAAAATCTCTACTAAAAATGGTGAAATGCTATGGGTTTAACGCCCATATCAAGACTATTAGGTTATTTAAGGAGCCGGACCTCCTAGTTTAACGTCCGTCTCCAATAAGGCCGAGCCAAGTGGGAAGTTTTTGTAAAGTGCCTTTCCCAAGGACACAACGTCGGACCGAGCTGAGGCTCGAAACCCGAACCCGCAATCTCACGATTACGAGTCCGGTAGCCTAACCAACTAAAAAAAAAAAAAGACATCGTCTGTATGCACTAGTGTGCAAGCGCATAAAATACATGCGTAAACACACAAAGCTCAAAATAATATAGCTCCTGAATCATGAACAACAAGACAGACGTAAAGGTACGCTGGCAAACTATCACAGGTTCTCCTGAATTAGGAAGAACCCAATGATCTACGTACAGACAAACGGGCAGACAGACACACTAACAAACACAATCACATCACGGACCGCCGGCCAATCGCATGCACAATCTCTGTCTTGCTAGCCGAAACTACAACAATGCCATGGAAAACAATCTCGGTCGCAGCAAGCGATAAGCATGTCTATATTGAGGGTGCTGTTCTTTCATCATCATCATCATCACCATCACCATCATCATCATCATCATCATCATCATTATCATCATCATCATCATCATCGTCGTTGTCGATGTCGTCGGTGTTGTTGCTGTTACGGTGCTGTTGTAGTTATTATTTTTATAAT